TATTCCAGATCCAGCTGAGCACTGACAGATGATCCCTCTGTGACTTCTTCACAGCAGGAGATAAAGTTCAGCCCGAGTCCTCAACAGCAAATGAACCGTCCCGAATGTTTCATCCCTCTAAAAGTGATGTAAGTACAGGAAATAAATGTTGATCCTTCCAAACGTCCAGTGAGCTCCTGACTTTCTGTAGTGAGCTAACAATGCTGTCTCTGCTGTAGTAAAATCCCCAGTAGTGTTTTCAGTCCTGTTGAACTACAAAATATCTCCCACGTACTGTATGTTGTGTTGATGAAAGGGGAAGAAAAGGTGGAGATGAAAACACTTCTTGGGATTTCAGTGCATCAGAGCAGAATTGTCCGCTCACTACAGACGCTCACTGGCTCTAGGGCAGGATCTATAGTTTATATTTTTCTATAGTTATAATGTTGAAGAGACAACACAAGGGAAAATAATATTTTTTTCTATCATCACCCTCATAATATCACCCTGACACTAAAATAAACTTCTGAGTTGGTGAGGTGACTTACAAAACAGGAACTGAGATACCCAACCGAAAGAAATTATAAAATGTAAAGGTAAAAATCCATTCCTGGATGTCCCGGCAGGTTGGCAGGATATGTGCACCATTCATATTGGACATTGAGTACTAGAGGGGCTCTAAAAAAAAAAAAGGGTAATTCAATATTTTTATTCAAACGTTGGAGCAGCCCAGAGACACTCACATCAACATAGCATTACACTCAGTGATCTACTGATATTTAGCAAACACTGAAGCTGTGCTGAAGTTTACTGAAAACAAGCCGACCTAGCTAGTCTGGATACTATGTACACTAAAGTCAGATTGCCCATATTGGGGGGGATCTATTGTTGCTTCATCTGTTACACTAAACATTTTCTTGTTGTAGGAATTGGAAGGTTTCTTTTTTGTCTTTGTAGCTCATGATTGGGTACAAATAATAATTATATATATTAGGGAGGCACCGATACTGTTTTTTTTTGGGATCAAGTACAAGTACCTATTTTTTTTTTTCCAGTACTCACGATACCAGAAATCCTATTAAGGAAGCCGAGAGGCGTGTAATGACTTGCCACCCGGCTTCCTGATTAGCCATGGAGTCGGTTTCCTGGCCAGTCAGGAAGCCGGGGTGGGTAATGACTCGATGCCCCTTCCGGCTTCTTGATTGGCCAGCTTCCCGAGCCATCACACACTGCCCGGATTCCTGATTGGCCAGGAAGCCGGCTCCATGCTCCCTCACCACCAAGGGATGAAGGAGCATGCAGCCGGGTACCTGGCCAATCAGGAAGCC